GGGGGGGTCTTTTTAAGACAGATTCTCCCTGTTGCCCCAGCTGTCCTGAAACTCACATGTAGACCAGGCTGGCCTTGAACTCTCAGAAATCTGTCTGCCTCTGCCTCCCAAGTGCTAGGACTAAAGGCATATGCCATCATGCCTGGCTTTATTGAATATTTTTGACTGCTTTAGATATTATTCCCTTTTGAGAAAATGAATAAATATGTGAAAATAAAGAAAACATCCTAGATTGGAGGATCTCAGGATATCTACTCGCTATAAAATATGATTATTTTTCTTACAAACCACTTTTTTTTTTGGTCTTTTTGAGACAGGGTCTCCCCGTAGCCCGAAGAGACCCACCTGCCTCTGCCTCCTGAGTGCTGGGATTAAAGGCGTGCACCACCACGGCCGGCACCACTTGCTCTTTTTTAATGTATATTTTTATTGAGTTTCTGTGCATTTCATATAATAAACCTTAATCAAATTTAGACCACTCACCCATTTGCACTCCCCCACACAGCGCCCCCATTGGATTTCATAAACCACTTGTTCAAATGATTCACAAATATGGTTTCCTTGGTGGATTTGTGGTGCAATATGTTCAATGGATAGATCACCACCTCGGGGGTTGAGGGGAAACTTCTTCTAATGGATTTCAGATAGCAAATATTTGCTAAATAGAAAATGTCTTAGGTTTTACTGAATATGCCTACCAGTAATAAGAATATTTTGCCATGTGGTGTAGTACAAGCAATCTCAAAAGTGGCATGAGAGATTTGCTGATTCTGCGTGAGAAAACAAACCCTCAGCTCTTTCCTTCATCTAATTAGCTGTTTAGAGCATTAGCTTGTGTGCTAGTTATTCACAGCATTTCATAATCTGAATAAGCTGTACTGAATAATGTTAAGTACTTACTTTGACAGACATATCACCCTTAATCTTATTATAGCTCACGATCGATTTCACATTTGCAAATTCTTTTATATATTTGCAAATATTTTATATATTCCTGCTTTACTTTACTGGTAGCAAAAAATTTAAATTACTGCTATGAAACCCTTATTATTGTATTATTATTACAGATTGTCTTATTTATTTTTTAAAATAATTTGAAGAAATTTATTATTCTTATTTTATGTGTATGAGTGTTATGCCTGTATGTAGGTAAGTGCACCCATGTTTTGCAGTGTTTGCAGAGGACAGAAGAGGCTGTTGGAGCCCCTGGAACAGGAGTTACAGACAGTTGTTAGCTGCCATGTGGGTGCTGGGATTCAAACCCACGTCTTCTGCAAGAACAGGCAGTGTTTTTAATCACTGAGCCATCTCTCCAGCCCCTTTTTTAATTTTTAAAAACATCTTCATTCTTTTTTAACATTTATTATTATTTTGGGGAGCACATGTGGAGGTCAGAGGACAATTCTGTGGAGCTGGTTCTCTCCTTCCACTTTTATGTTGGTTCTGGGAATGGAACTCAAGTCACCAGGCTTGAGCAGCAAGCAGCGTCTTTAGCCAACGAACCATCTTACTGGTCCTAAACTGTCTTAAATGGTATTCCATCATGTGAGGTGCCAAACTTTCAATCAGCAACAGCTTGACTAAACTTACATCTTAGCTTATTTATAAATTATTTAATCATTTCTATTTAAGATGTTTCCATTTTTACATATCTGTCAATAACATTGCACAAATATCATCTGTTCTCTATAATTATCCATCCTTTAATATTCTTATTTATTTTATTTGGTTCCTAAGCTTTATGTTGTGTTTTAGAGAAGAAATCAGTGAAGGTTTTTGGTAAAAGGTCTAGTGAATGTTTTCAACTATTGGGGCCATACGATGAACTTTGGTCTTAGCATATTTGCTATTACCGAACAAATAGAACCGACATTTACATGAGCATGCATGGCTGTTTTCCATCAAAATTCCATTTCCCCAAACAGGCCATTGCACTTCATGGTTTTCTGACCTCTGTCTGAAAGAAGACATTTTTATTTAGGGTGCACTGTATTACTACTTCAGGAAAAATGTGTAATTGGATATATTAATCCATCTGACTGGAAAGAGGTGGAGGTTTTCCAACTGGGATCCATAGTCCTCCATATTTTTATAAGTCCTTACATTCTAAATGTTTTCTCTTTTTTCATATTTTCATGTCAGAGAGAATCCAGATATACATTCAGAGAAGGAAACTCTGGGTTTTGGGAATAAAGAAGGCACAATCCAGCACTGTAGCTAAACTTGGAGCCCGCTTTTGATTTTGTAGAGTTTGTGTATAAATCTTAAGTCATTTTCTTACCTGTGAGGGTGAGTGTGGAGGTCAAAACTTAAGATTGGGATTCCTTCCTCAATCACTTCACCTTATTTTCTGAGATGGGGGTCTCTCACTGATCCTAGGGCTTGCTGTCTTGGCTAGACTTGGCTGATTGAGGAGTCCCCAGAATCTGCCTGTCTCTGCCTCACAGTGCTGGGGTTACAGACACATGCCCTGCCATGCCCAGTTTTTATGTGGGTATTGGGGATCCAGACTTAGGTTCTTTTGACTGCAGCAAGCATTTCACCCACAGCCATTTCCCAAGTTCCATAATTTTATAGCTTTCTAGTTGTATGACTTTGGGTAAATGTCTTTTTAAGTATATTTTATTTATTATTTTTATTTATTTATTTTCTACGTGTATGAGTGTATTGCCTGTGTGTATGTAAGTGCACCCATATAATCAATGCCTGTGGAAGGCAAAGGGGGGTATTGGGTCCCCTGGATGGTTGTTAGAACCTATATGGGTGCTGGGAATTGAACCTAGGTACTCTGTAAGAGCAGACAGTGTTCTTAGCTGCTGATCCATCTCTCCAGCCCATTGGATAAATGTCTTAACATTTTTGTGTCTTGACTTCTTCTCTTGCAAAATGGTCATCACAATATTATCAACTGCTTAAAGTAGCTCTTCATTTCAACTGTCTTTTTTTTTTGGGGGGGTCTTCTATAAGGGTACCTTTAGTTAAAGCTACAATTTTAGAAAATTCTCATTTCAGTCTTTGTGTTTCTGCATGATTTACAAATGTTTCTTTTATAACACTGACCTGTTCGCATGCAAGCCACATTGATGAGCCACCACTCAGGGATGCGAGGCAAAATCACAGCCACTCGGTCTCCTCTCTGCAGGCCACAGGACTTGGTGAGCACATTGGCAGCCTTTCGGGACAAGGAACCCAGTTCTCTGAAGCTCCATTTCACCTCATCTCCTTTGCCAGTCACCCACCACAGGGCTAGACTGTCTGGTCTCTCCCCCGACTGGTCAGGGACACATGGGAAGGAGAGGAAAACATGCTATGATTTGGAGGTGTCTCTCAAAGACCCATGTGGCAAAGGCTTGGTCCCCAGCCCATGGCTCTATTGGAGGTGGTGGAACCTTTGGGAAAGGGAGCCTAGTGAAAGGAAATGAGGTCACTGGGACATGTTCTTGAAGGGGATGTTGAAACCTTGAACCTTTCTTCACATTCATTTTTTCCCTGCTGCTCTGAGGTGAGCAGCCCTCTTCTGCTGTGTATTTTCCCTGTGAGGTAGGTACTGTGCTACAACAGGGTCAACTGAGCACACATAGAAATCTCTACAACCACGGAACACGGTAAACCTTTCTTCCCTTTATCACAGTGATGGAAAGCTGACTAACAGAGAAGGCAGATATGACCGGTTACTTTCAGATAAGACATCTGCTGTCCCTCATCCTCCATACCTTGTGCACTCTAGTAACAATACCTCAGTTTGCCTGTGGTGAAAACCTCCTCTCTGATTCAATACAGCCTTGGTGTCAAAACCTTTCAGGGAAGTTGCCTTCTCTCAACAGGGAATGGGCATGTTATCAAGGTTGAGTCAATCTGATATTTTCTCCCTGGACTTTGAGTTTTCTGAGAGGAACCAAAAGATATAAAATGATTGGACAAAACATGTACATGGACATGTCCCCATGGAGCTGTCCAGGTTCCTGCCCTCATTGAGACCGACTCTCCAGCCTCTACCACAGTTTTGCAAGCTCACCTTTATTCTGCAAATAAAATTTCTTTCTAGCATAAATTCAGTTTTTTTCTGACTAAAAAACCTCAATGAATTTAGTTTGATTAGGATTTTGATAGCTAATTTTACTTCAACGGTGAGGTGTGAGTTTCACAGGTCACAGAAATAGGGCAGAGGTAGGCATTCATTGATTCAGTAATTTCTGGAAGAAGCTTTTACCTATCATTCTATAAACTAAGCCACCCATGTTGAAAACCTCTTTGCTTTATGTATTACCTACCTTTATGTATTACTCCATGTTTTCCCCTCTGTCTAGAATACTTCTCCCTTCTCTACTTGGTAAAACCTGAAAGTTCAGTTTGTATTTCATTTGTCAGTAAGCCTTTCCTAGAGGCCTATTCTCTCCCCGTGCCCCACCCTTTTCTGTGTTCCTTCAGCATTGTGCTGGTATTCTAAGTGACTCCTCTACACTGGGACGTATTATATTACAGAACCCTGCCCTATAGATATAAGCCCTACAAGATTAGGAACTCAGTTCACATTCTTTTGAAGTAGTGTGTCTTTGGATAAGTAGATTAAATTTTCTGAGGTTAAGTTCATTATGTAAAACCTCCCAGGGCGGCTAAGGAAATTGATGAAATGACATGTGAAATAATATAGGTATTTCTTAGTCCTCAATCACCAAAATTTCTACCAGATTTGTCCATACTTGCACAATCGAACTGTACTTTATAATTGTCTATGCATTGATTTTTGTACATTTACCTAAGAAAACACATGTAATTAATTAGCACCAGAATAAGAAAATGAGTACCACTGGTCTAAAACAGGCTGCAGAAAAACATATATATAGTGAAGACAAAACTGTGCTTTTAAATTCCTTCCAAAGATCATTAGTTTCTGTCTCTCTGCCCAAGAGAGTTCAGCAAATTTTAGGTATTAAAGACTCCATGACTTTTAAGGAAGACTTTTCCCCTAGTTAATAGGAATTATTAATTTACCACATTTAATCCCTTACATATTTAAGACCTAACTTCATATTCTGAGGCGCAGGTTCTGAACTGCATTGTGACTGATAAAGTGCTTAGCTCAGAGCCTGGCAAGGACCTGGGGCAGAAGGCAGGAACCTTTTTCTGCAGCGGGCTGTAGACATTCTGCAAAGTCTGCTTGCTTTATTTCTCCCAAGTTGTGATTCTCACTAAAATATTCCAGTGGTAGCTATATTCATAAAAACCAAAGCGCAGACTACTTTTATGATAAGCCTATGACCATCCCAAAGAGCTGCTGTGTGAGACATGAAGAAGAAAAAGTAGGGAAGATGCATAGCTCTGTGAGTGACCACAGTGTGTAGTGGGTGAGGGGAGTGGCAGGACCAGTAAGACTCCAGAGAAGCCATATGGATCTGAGGATCTGAGTTCTCTAGGGGAGTAGGGCAATTAGAAAACAACAGGAGCCAACGGAGTGAAAGAACTGAATTGAACTTGACAGGCCGACCACAGAGCAAGGACATGGAAGACAGAGACAAGCGAACATGAGAGCCAGTGGAAACCCACTGTCTTCTACCTTCTCCTTTTGGGACCACTGGTCCAGCACATCTCCAGCAAAGTTAAAGTTCTTGGGCAATGGCTTCTCACAGCGGTTTATAGCTTCAAAGTCAGCAAGAGTCAGAGGTGTGCAAAACTGGTGATTCCTGTGGAAGTGCCGGCCAGCTGGCTTAGCAAGCCAGATGAATCTGAACCTCTGGTAGTGGAAGAAAACCTTCATGATTCCTGAAGGACTTTGTCTTCTGACACACAGTCGGAAATGGCTGTAGGGAGCAATGGGTGGAGAGTGTCAGCTGGAATCGGGAAGTGGACTCTTAAGTATACCCACTGTTTAAAAAATATTTTATTATTTTTATTTTATGTGTGTGAGTGTATTGCTTGTATGTAGGTAGGTGCATCCTTGTTGTGCAATACCTGCGGAGATCAGAAGAGGCCGTCGGATCCCCTGGAACTGGAGTTACGGACAGGTGTTAGCTGTCATGTGGGTGTTGGGACTTGAACCTGGGTCCTCTGCAAGAGCAGTCAGTGCTCTTAATTGCTGAGCCATCTCTCCAGCCCCGAAGTATACCCACTGTTATACAGAGCTGTCATCATTAGGCACTGACTAGTGTCTTTGGCGCTGGACTCTCCATTCTGCCTGTGACCAGCATAATCCTAAAAACCCAGACAACTATAGAATTGTCAAGCCCCCAATGTCTGTCCCTACCGTCTCCCTAAGGAAATCACAAGCAAATGGACTATTTGCTGCCTGGATTGAAGTTCAACTCCCCACGCCCCCAGCACTTTAAACTTTGGATTCACAGTATCTTCTAATTTCTCTGCTTGAATTTCCTCCTCCAGTAAAGCCATTCCATTCTCTTCTCATCAATGCCCACTTCCAGTATGAAGATGTGGCCTGCCAGTCCCCAAGATTTTGGCTACTCTGCCCTTAAATCCTCCATTGCAATTGACTGAAAACTTTCATTGACATTCTGGCTCACACACTTTATGGCTATAAGACTTTGGGAAAATTACTTATCTTCCTGTAATGTTCTGATTAGCATAATGAGGAAAATGTAATAACTCCTTCATAAGGTTATTCTCAAGATTTAAGACGTAATTCATGTAAAATGCATAACTTGCAAGAAAGCCCTTTTTAGTTGTTAACTATAGCTGTTTTGGTGATGTTGTGGTACAATTTTGTGGAACAATTTTATCATATGAATCAGGAGACCTAGATTTTATTTCCAACTCCTTCAAAAACTAGCTTTGTGACATTGGCAAAATTGCCCACCATTTCTGGACTTCCATTTGTAATCTTTTATTTCTAATTCTATGGTTTTCACAACTTGCACCCTATACCACTCAGGTGACAGCTGTGTACCTTGTTCTGTCACCATTTTTAATTTTTTGACACTTTAACACATGAGTATTGTATTTTTATAATATATGTGCCTTGTCTGCCTAACCTATCTGCTGTGGACAGAAGTTATGTGTTCCAGTTTTAGCACAAAACATGACTCATGGCTCCTAATAAAAGCCAGTGTTCGCAAAGCACTTGCTCTAGAGAGACCAGTATTTTGCGTTCCTGAGATCATTCCACACTCACAATAAGCTTCCAAGGCCAAAGCTACTGTTTGCACTTTGCAGATGAAGTCACTAAGGCCGTTGCAAACGACAGCAGCTTCCCAAGGTCATCTAGCTTGTGGTGGAGAGGCAAGGTTAGTTTCTCTCTGCTCTGACGTGGCACCTCCTCAACCTCTCTGATAGTGTCCTTTGTGTGTCCTTCTCAGTAAAGCCTTCCTGTGCATAGTGAGCACCCTCAGCCTCCTGCCTTTTCATCATAAGAAGTTAATTTGCATGGAGTGGAAAACTGCAGGTATGAAGGGAAGCTGTGTCTGCAGCATGGTGATAATAAACAAACCACAAACAGAGGGTTCCGTGTGCTCCTCCCTCTTCTTGTGCCCCTTTGCTGCTCGGAGTGATGTCTGGACAACTCCACTGGTACAAACAAGAAGTACAAAAATGAAGTTTACCATAACCTTGGAAGAGCTAAGTCTGGTAGCACAGTTAGTCACATGTTACCTGATGTCAAAGTAGGAAGAGGGATCATTAATGGACACATCACAGTGAAACCCATTAATTTGTGCAATTAATGTGCGTTGATAATTATTAATATAATTTTGAAAAAGAAGAAACAACAACAAAAGAGAGTGTACCTGACCCAGGTAATGTTCTGAAAATGTAGGGGTGGCATCATGAGCAATAAAGGGAGGAAAAAAGAGAAGCAGAGTGGGCCATGCTCATGATGTAGCACAAAATGAGGCACCATTCCCTCTCCTAGTCCCCCTCCCAACACACACACACACACACAGACACACACACAGACACACAGGCACACACACAGACACACACAGACACACAGACATACACACAGGTACACGAGGTCATGTGTAGTGGCACATACCTATTATCCTAGTGCCTGGGTGGCTGAGGCAAGAGGATCTTGAGTTTGAAGCCAGCCTGAGCTATACTGCACTATCCACTTTCAGAAACCAAAAACAGGACTGGAGAGATGGCTCAGTGGTTAAGAGTGCTTACTGCTCTTGTACCCATGTTGGGCACCTCACAACCACCTGTAACTCTAGCTCCAGAGGATCCATTGCCTCTGGCCTCTGTAGGCACCTGCATTTATGTGTGTCAGACACACAGCACACACACACAGACACACACACAGACGACACACACACACACACAGACACACACACAGACACACAGAAACATACTATAAACTTTGCCCACAGTAACATCCTTTTAACGCCCTTTGCAACCCTGAGACCTAGGTCTGACCACACACAGACACACACACAGACACACACAGACACACACACACAGACACACACAGACACACACACAGACACACACACAGACACACACACATAGACACAGACACACACACACAGACGACACACACACACAGACACACACAAATGCACAAGCATATAGAACACATGCACACTTGCATCCACAATTTGTTTCTCTGAATGGCTTTTCCCAGTTGCTTAATCTCAATTCTTATTTTCATCTGTGCGATAGAGTAATGATAATACCTTCTGCAGGGGCTAGTCATGGGCTTAAGTGAATACTCTCTTACAGTGCTTAGTTCTTTGCTAGGACTCAGTGTTACCTATGAAAAATAAAACCTCTTCAAGGCATGGTGGCTGGTGTTTGTAATCCCAGCACTTGGGAGGAGGCAGTTCATGAGTTTGAGGTCAACCTGGACTACATAATGAGATCTTATCATGAAAAACAAAAACGGAAACAAAATTCAAACCCTAACACCGTTTATGATAGAAGGCTAAATTTAGTCAATAAAAAAAAGTACAAACGCTATTGGATTGGAGCACTAACCTTCGTCTCTGACTATTCTAATGCGGCAGTATGTGGTTCTTGGAACTGATTCCAGCCCCCACCTGTCTGAAACAGTTTAGTGTTCACCTCCATCATTTCAACTTTCCTTAGCCTCAATTTAGTGGTGAACTGGAAAGACTTTCAGTACACGGGCTCCCGGAACACTCTTGCTTTCAAAGAATAATGCAGAGAATATAGTGGACAGATCTTATGGTGGGGCGGGGGGCGGGGAATCTCATCTCCATCTTCTCCAAATTGAAAGGTAAGGATTTTTCTTGGATTGCTTTATTTTCTGTATCTTAACTAATCATCAACGTAACACCCCAACATTCTAAAGCTATATATTGTAAATAGATCTGGACTGACTCTACATTTTGGCATTGCTTGTGTTCTGAGCATACACAAAACTAGGTAACTATCAGAAATGCAAATATGACTGAGCAGGGTTTTCCATTGAACTTGAGATCTTTTTACTAATAACATTTCTTTGTTCCTATCTTTTTGGTCAGTACTTGATTTTTAAGAACAGCTTTGGTACAGATAGGTCTATAAGGAGATCACAGAACTCCGATATCCACCATTTTGCTTTGGACGGAGACATTTTCTGACTTGGGATTCTGTGGGAAGTGTTTGTGATTCCCAGTCAAATCTGAAGGTTGCTGAGTATTTTACGTTAAAACATCATCTTTGGAAGGATTTGTAGCTATAAACAAGCTTATCAAAATATTTCCAAACAATGTCTTTAAAAGTGAAAGGGTTGAATTAAATAATTTCTAAATAGTGATTTTCAAGAATTTTAAAAGAAATGTTAATAGTAGAAAAATTGTTGAGCAACAGTTGCCTGTTCAGGTGAACACCTTCTGTTGTATCTTGTTTAATTCTCCACAAAGCCTTAGGAGACGGAATTTAATTTCACAGGTACATAATTTACTATCGTAGGCATAAGGGAATGAGAGCACTGAGAGGAAACTCATTTACCAGAGTCATCTTGTAAGCAGAAATTCTAGCCACTTTTGTTATCTCCTTGGCCAATGCAAGGGAAGGCTCTCCCAGGCTTTTATTGAGTTTCTACCAATTTTCATAAAGTACGACAGTCCATTCACCTATCACAGACAGTTGTCTGGCCTTGGGTCTGTAGTGATCTCATCTTTATGAGACAGCCTGCCTCTGCTGCTGTACTCAAGTCCCCTCCACATAGTCACATGTGTCTTCCTTACCAGCAAATAGTCCTGCTGATCCAGAAAGGCCTTCTGCTCCTTCCTAAAGATTCAGCTCTGCACCCACCAGTCTCTTCTTTCTTCCCTTCGTTTAGTGGTATCTATGCCATCAAGGCCAGGAGCAGTGCGCAGCTGGGAGGATTATAATCCCTTGGGAGGAGAGTTTCTGTTTGGACAACCTGTGGTTAAAGGGGCAGGCACTTATAAGATGCAGCTGGGAGAGAGAAAGGACAGGCAGGGGCAACCTGCTTGTGGCTCAGTGCCAGACAAAGGCTAAGTCCCAGATGGTTAATGGATTATTCTCATTCCCAGAGCTGACACTGAAATCTACACTGCCCATTTCAGAGAGCCCCTTGACATGATTAGCAAGCAGTCCAGGACACTGGCGTGCTCAGTTATTGTGGCATTGCTGGTTCTGACCTGCACACCTGCCAACATAGTACAGCCAAAGGAATCACATTGGAACCCTCAACTGGTAGATTAGAGAGGATATTGTAAGAACTGTTTCAGACTCCTGGCTTTTACTGTGTACTTACTGTGTGCCAGCCCTTATTAAATATCCTCACATCTCTCATTTGGAAATCACCTTAAATTAACATCAATGAAAGTGTTTGGATGGCTTTCATTTCATGTCTTATATTTTATGTAA